ACGTACGTCGATATACGAACGATATTGGAATTAATGCATTTCTCCCTTTGCGTCTAAACATATATCGCTTTCTATATGAATGCGCGAAATTGGATTGGATTTACATTAATAGAGATATAAATTTTTTCGCAAATACATATCTCGGCCGCGTCAAAAGTACCGATAAAATTTACTATAGATATATTAAGCGCAAATGGTAAATACGTAAATATAATATCACGAGATCGAGAAGACCTTGAGCATTCGAAATCACGAAATGTTTATTCAATAAACCTCTCTTTCTCTCTTCGTGATTATATAAAATATGAAAAATATCATCTCTTTGGCTATCGTAATTAGCGAAGCTACTGCTAAAAATATTATTTTTTACTAAATATTATTTTTTCCATTTCTCTTCAATCATTTTCTACTATTCCTTCCGCGTCATTGGATTAACAAAATAATTTTTGCCTTAAAAAAAAAATTATACAATAAAGTTTGTTTTGTTAATAAAGAATTTATTTTGCAAATAAAGATATACATATCCGATTTTTTGGCGACTTGCGTCGCCTTCCAGTATCCCTGCATATATCCATGGGGCGCGTGTTAACACAGATATACAACGGGATTTACTGTTTTACGCCGGTTCCGAATGGCCAATATAGGGATTTCTCTCGACAGAGTTACTTTAGGTGGTTTGCCAGACCTTCGTAGAGGAGTGTCGTCGCTTGTAAATATTTTCGGCCGGGATTCGAGAACCCGGGACTCTCTGACTTACGAGTCTTGTGCTAACTCGCAGAGCCACAAGAGCGCGTTTCACGAGCGAATTTCGCATTTCTTTAAGTTTTAGCTCGATAAAATGTTTTTCTGTTAAACATTTTTTTACTCGTTTAAAAGTTCTGCCTTCGACGTTTATCAGAAAAAATATTGGAAGCGTGCCTCTAGTCAAAAGAAAAATAAATACCGTGGGATATATTGATTTCGCAGAACATGTTGAAAAAAAAACCGCACGTTGTTACAGTTCTATCTATAAAATATCTGATTTTTATTAGTTGAAGAGTGTCAAGAACTGCTGATGGCATATTACACGTTATCCTTTACAAAGTATTTACCTCTCGCTTTTATATTAAAGCGATAACGATTTATTGGAGATGATTCATATTCAGCATATTTATCAAGTGCCGTTATTAGAGAAAGATATTCGTATAGAGCAGGTTAGTAACTTTCAGTAGTGTAGAAATAAAGCAAGTATTTATTTATCCACAAGATTGAAAAAAAATACTTCTACACTACAAATCAAATGATAAAAGAGTCTCAAAAAAACTCTATATCATTCTGTCAATTAGTTTATAAAAAAACGATATGACATCGCGAAATATCGTATTACATATTTTTTGCAACAAAATGCTTTAGCAACGTATTTATCGGTTCTGGTTATTTTGTGGTCTCTTCGCGATAAATTATTTCGAATGTCCTCTCTTCCCATTCAGGACGATAAATCGATATGGAACAATAACGTACAAGTTGATCGAGGTCGACCTCTTGTTAGACAACTCCCACGAAGTTAAATCTCGCGTGTTTGTAGCAGACCATCGCACTTCCGAAAACTCCGAAGCCTCCGAGAGGAAGTTCAAGTTACCTCTGCTGGAAACTCGAGAAGATGCTGTTGAGCTTTTCCATCAAAAGGCTGGAAACTCCCTTGTCTTTTCTATGGTTATTTGGGAGCATTTTGAAAGAACGATAACACGTCATGAACAGCGCGGCAAGTTCGGCGAGATATGCAATCCTCGAAACGTTAAATACGTAGCAAGTATACAGAGCACTTTCTTCCTCGGTTTAATGCAGTTTCGGAAAACTTGGAATGTGTTGTCATCGTATATAACCTTGTCTTTCGGAGTTTTGGAGGTGTTAAACCGTGTAAGTGTGTTTCGTAAATTGTTTTATCAAATACAAAAACAAATGGAAACCGCGTATTTTAAGAAAAATATTTTGTAAACAAAATTTGCTTACGATGTAACGTTAAATGTATTATTTTATTAATACAAATACATTAACAAAAATTTTTTACCTTTTTGCTGAATAATTCAACTTTATTAATTGTAAAGGTAATATCAAGTATAATTGTCATTTCTTTTTTATTCTTTTGATTATATATTCTATAAATTTATAGCACATATAAAACAAGATTAAAACAATTAAGTTTTAGTAATTAGTTCTATCGTTCAGAATATTCTTTCAATGATTTTTTTTCGTTCAGAATATTCTTTCAATGATTTTTTTTTCGAAAATCTAGTTAAGTAACGTTTTGTCTCGCGTTAAAACACAGATAACCAGAACTTCTACTATGACTTGGTGAATCCTAACGATAACAAAGTAATCATCACAAGAAGGAAAAGCCTGACATTTCTCACACGTCGTTCGAGAAAGAATTTCTTTTGTTGTGCTCGTCGACTACACCAGTAATCCGCTTTGTTAACGTCAACAGAAACGCAAACGCGATTTCCGTCCATGTCTCTATAAAAACACCATGGCGAAGTGTCAGCGCGAGAGAAAAAAGTTATTTCTTTAATAAAACCGCTTTGACATCCGTTTTTATAACAACCGAAATGCTGGCTTATTGAATAATATCCGCAGTTTTATTTTCCTACAAACATATTTATACATCAATTGTGAAATTATTATATTAATAAAGAAGAAATCTAAGTATTTAATTATACAGTACGGTTTTATTATTTTTTATCAGTTATATAACACTCTCTTTATCAAACCATCTCAACAAATTAAAATATATTATGATTATATCTCATGAGAGAGAGAGGCTTTTATTTGATTAAAATTTTTAGGATTTAATTACGAAAGTGTGTTTAATATAGAAAATTAAATATAAAATATATTTATTATTTAAACAAATTATATTAATCATTAAATTATAATTATTTTGCGAATTAAGTTTTAAAAGTGTATTGATATGAATATGAATGTATCTAAACAAAATAATATAAACAAAATTTTGATTTAGTTAGTAAAGCTAAACAAGATTTTGAGCGACTATTTTATTTGAGATTTAATATTAACGTATTAATATAAATAATATGTATTAATATATGTAATATATTCAATCCCTACATACGTATATAGAAATATTTTCTATATAATTTCTATTTATGAAAAATTAATCTGAAATTTATATTAAAGATCTGCAATGAAATTTTGAAGCAAATGGAATGTTCCATATATATTCATAAATAATTGCATCAAAAATCGTATTGTTTTCTGATTTAATCTGTATTTCCGATACTGTAATGCGCTGATTGTGATTAACAAATAATTGTTTTAATAAATTTAATAAATATATTGATAACATTGTACAATAAATAATTAGACGACGAAATATGAGCATTTTTCACCATTTGTGAGCAAGGATGAAGCGAATAAATTGTTTAATGATACGGTGCAACGTATGGCATTTTCCAAATCGAGTCATAATTCACATAAGATTCGATCTGACGGTTAATTTCCGCGGCGAGAAAGGTGATATGTGGTGGATCATGGGCATCTAGTCAGTTTTTCTAAAAGTTTAATTGGAACTACGGGCAATCCAATCCGGCTACTGCGCTCTCGCGGACGATTCCGATTTTTCCAGATTTTACGTCGCCGCAGGCACGATTCTCGTCCGTATGAAATTACGTAAAAATTTATCTTGCAAAAAATTGGACTGTCGCACATCACTTAAGTAAGTAATTGCGTTAATTACATAATGATGCGCCTTGTTTCTGCCCTCGTATCTCGCTCGAGATGGCTGCTCTTAAAGAATACTTTCTTCATCCTTGAATTTCCCGCAAGCTTACAAAAAATGTTTTAATAATTATGACTATAATATGTTTGAGTTAATAGAAGCTATTTTTGTATCGAGCTAGTCTTCTTAGAAATTTGAATTTCTTGTAATTAATGTTATTTCAAAAGTTTGTTTTCCATTTTTTTTCATGAACAAATATGAAAGAATAAAATAGTTTTCGTGTAAAAATAGCTAAACTATTACAGATCTCCTAGATTCAATTTTATCAATTGTTTATAAAATAAAGTAAATTTTTTTCAAAAAAGTCGAATTTTTGTCTATTTCTCAAAATTAAAGTTCTAATTTTTTAAAAAGATTTCCTCAAGTAAGAAGAAATACTATAACGAGATACTATAAAGAAACTACAAAAATGTACACGTGGAAAATCCATATCTTTTTCTTGACTCACAGTACAGTAATCCTTTTCATTTTGTTAATTCATATTGCAATGTTGCGATGGGAGAAGAATCATGGAGTACCTATTTATTCGCCAGAGTTAATTAAAAAGCGCTTGTGTTTAGCAGTGCAATGATATTATTGGCTGTAAGAAATACTTCCTACGACAAACAGCAACAATTTTTCAGTTAACATTTTTATTAATTGTAAAAGTTAAAGCGACAATAAGTAGCGAGGAAATGATGCAAACGAATGTAACAATCTTGTTCTGTAAAAATAATATTTATTCCTGTGAATAAAATTAGACGTAGTCTATTCGATTCCTGGCGTTATTTACGCAACGTAGTTCTGGGAAGCGAATGAAAGATTTCCGTGTCTGTTTTCTTTCTTTTTTTTTTCGGAATATATCGGAAACGCGTTTCTGTCGATAACGACGGCCGACCCTTGAAATCGCGCGGCCGTTTTTCCGACAAAGATTTGCGATAACGCCGCCGCTCGATTAGGAAGCCTCTCGGCAAATCGCGCGAGATAAAATCGCCGTGGCGCCCTTCCCTACTAAAAGGAAGACGGGAAGACTGAATACTTAACGAGTCCTCTCGGAGATATTCTTAAGGATCCAAATGGAACTTTAAAGACTCTATAGAAGCGACAGAAGAGCGGAAAAGCGATCGATTCGATCAATTGCGAGAGATCCCCGGAGGATATAGCTTGTAAGAAAACCCGCGGATAAGACTGTCACAATCTTTTCGTGAAGTATGATGCTATAAAAAGGATCCCTTTTTTTTTTCAGTAGCGAAGCCGGCCAAGGTTACCCCGGTGGAAGAGATTCCCAAGGAAGAGTCCACAATTGAATCTTTAAAACCGTAAGTTTTGGGCAAAATGTAAACTCCAATTGTATAAATGCATATATAATACTATCATTTTCGTCCTACTATATATGTATAGTGAAAAATACAATTGCTATCCTCTATAACAGATTATTTATAGCAAAATTGATAAGAATCAATTGGTTCGTAGAAAGTTCTAACGAATGCCATTTGAATCAATACAAATTAGCAGGCATAGATGTCTATGTCTACGCAATGTAATAAAAATAATTTTAATAAACAATTGGGCTTATCGTTTTGTATCTAATACCATTCATTAGACATATTCTATATTTTTATTTTTCTTCTTAAAAATTTTTCACAGAAATATTTTCTATTAACATCTATAATCTTAAATAAATTAATTTTTTTATAATTGTTAATATTATAATATATAATATTTCGACGGTTATATCATATATATTCTCTCTTATTTGATTTATTACAACTGTAAATATAGAAGTCTTTTATTTTTATTTAATTTTTATTTGATTAATTTTTCAAATAAACTACTCATCAGTAATGATATTACCATATCGTTGGCCATGTATCTTATGATATTTTAAATATTGCATTACAATTGATTAATGGTCTAAAATACAGTATTACTGCAAATGGTACATATAATGACGTTGCTTTTAATGATTTTATTTAACTTCAGATTCCTCATTAAATATCATATAATTTGAGTAACTCATAACAAAATTAAATTACTTTCATATTAAAGTATATATTTATTGGCATAAATTCATTGGCACCGATACAAAATGTTGAAATAATGTTAGCTCTATTATAAATACAATTTTGCGAATAACGATGATGGAAAAAACGCTGAAATAGTTTTCGGAATGCTAACAGTCAAACTTCAATATTGCGCTTTTTCATAGGTTTATTTCCCGAAAGGGAAACAACATCCTATCAAACTGCACTCTATTTTCATTTAAATTGATACATTTGGAAGCAATTAATCCTTGACAAAATCATTTGCAAGAATAAAAAAATATTGAACTTACGCTAAAAAATCTTTCTCCAATAATTTAAGAAAGAAAATATTTTAAAAAATTTGAAATAAAAATGATAAATATACGATAAAAAATATAAACAATTCAAAAGAATACAATTTTTAATTATATCTTTAAAAATTAAAACACTTTACTTATAAAACAGCATATTTTTTATATTTCACCTGATTATTCATTTACCAGTTTTTATAGCTTGACCATTGTTTTAAGCTTTTGTATATTTGTAATATCAGACCCATACAATTGCATTAACATCTCATTCATTATCGTATTTTTTATTCTCAACCCCAAGTAGAAAACAAATCAGAAACTAGCCAAAAACTGGCCATGAATTTTGGTTACTAGCTAGTATTTAGTCAGTTTGACTGATTAAATTTTGGTCAGTTTGACGTCAGGGCTTTGCTGTCAAAAGATTAGCAACTAGATAGTAAATTTTATCAGTTTTTAATCAGTTATTAGCCAGTAACCAGCAAAATCTAAGTTTTACTTGATAGAAATTAGTTAATATTTACTGACTTAATCTTGTTAGTTTCTGGCTAATTGTTAGGCAAAAAATACTAGTCAGAATATTCAGAGTTTTACTGACTAAAAACTTTACTGGCTAACTAGCATTTACTGATCAATTATATCTGACTAATTTCTGACTAGTTATTAACCAGTAAATGCTAGTCAGAATATTCCGAGTTTTACTGGCCAGAAACTTGCTAACATTTACTGGTTAGTTTGACTTGATAGTTTCTGGGTAGTTGCTAATCAGTATTATCTAATAAAAATTTTCTAAACAGTTATTGAACAGTTACTGTCCAGTAAATTCAAAAGAATAAAAACTAGCCAGTTCCTAGTGAGTATAACCAGTTTTTCCTATATATTTTTCTTACTTGGGACCCTTTTATTCTAATCGCAACACTAATAAACGTTGCTTGAAAGGTTTTGTACAACGTTTATACAACGAAATTTATCTCGTTACTTCGCTAGTTGCAATCTATTTGACAACGTTTCGTTCGGATAACAGGCCATCGCGATTAATCCGTGAGCCGCGCTATCTCGTGGGAGTGAAGATTTATTCGCTGGGGACGCACGTGCGAACGAGCGCACTGCGACGGACGTTATCCGTGTCCGGAAGACGATCCACGAAGTTCACTGTCAGTTTAAACGGACGCGATCCACCTTTTATTTCTTTCGTTTCGTTTGCCCGGCTCAGTTTGCTCGTGCACCCGGTCGAGCGATATTTAATACGACACGTCCATTAAGGATCGTGGATTGATTCCTCCTTGATCAGCTAAGTAACCTGCGCCTGTTCAAATAACGAGCGAGCTGTCTTACGAACGGACATGGGTTTCTATTACTAGGTTCAACGACTAGCGGTTTTTCAATAACGGTGATTGTACAACGTAATATTATTTTCGCGATCGTTAATGTATAACATTTTTTATAGAAGAACACATAGAGAGACACATACATCTATTTGTCTATGCGCTGTTAAGAAAAAGATTATTAATAATTTTGTTGTCGTAAACTTTTGAGATACGCATATTATAACTAAATAATAAATTCTTTCTTTTCATATTACGATACAAAGAAAAGTTGCATTTAAATATAAAAATATGAAAAATATATTTTTCTCCGGCCAAAATAAAAATAATTGAATAATAAAATATTTTAAAATAAAATATTTCAATACACTTTCATACGTACAGTTATTACTATCATAAAGACTAACTATCACAATTTCTTACTTTCCATTGTTAAATTATTTTTTATATGTAACGTACAATAGTATGTAGATAATTATCTTTATGCCGTGTAGTAATTTATCTCGTGCTCTACAACCCAACAACGGATGTTTGATAATAATCCTGATAATGGAGAACGTATTCGAAAAGATCGCCGTAACGAATGAGGCACTTAATAAAGTTTATCGGATCCGATGTTCCAGAAAGTCGGAAGTAGGCGGCAAGACAAGCAGCGGGGACGACTGCAGGGTATGCCGGAAGTCGTTCGGTCCTGAGGAAGTCTCGCGAACTTGTTGCGAGTGTCAACACAAGGTCTGCGAGGACTGCGCCTCGTATTCGACGACAACGAATTCCGACGATCTGGTGAGTTTGCACGCCTCCATTTTTAATTAACCGGCCTGTTCATTGTTTCCCGCCGGTAAATATTGCCGTAAAACGAGATTGGATGGCGTCTGGGCGTAAATTAATTGCCGAAACGGACAAAAGGGAAACGCAAAAGAGCTCGAAGACAGAGGAGAAAAACGGATTGTGACAATCTAATTCCGAGAATAACATCATAATTAATCGCGACATTTTATCATCGTTTCCCCCTAAAAATTTACCTTTTTATTTATATTTTATAATTGAAATGGGCTGTTCCTTTGACATTTGATTTATTAACGGCGAGGTCATTTGCGATTTTTATTTGACTTTTTTTTTCCATTCCGTCAAAAGGTCAGGTTTAGTCTATTTAATTACTTATTGATAAGCGATAAATTTTTACGTATCATATTTTATATTACAAAATCGGCATGTCAATATTGCATTTTACACAAATATAAATCCATGAAAACATATCCATGAAACTACGTTTTTTAATATGTGTTAATATATACGACTTAAATAACAAAATATCTTATAGACAAAAAGTACCGGTACGCGACTCGATTTCAAGAAGAGTTTCAGAAATATCCTAAGAACCCGTTATTTGCATTCGAAACGTGAACGCGAAAGAGGCAGTTAATTACCGATCGATAGTGATAAGAAAAGTCCAAGATTCACGATAGCACGAAGGAACCAAGACTAACTTGCGTACATCCACCTCTGTTGCTTGCTAATTCCTCTCTCTCT